TTCGATCCCCGAAGTCGCCGTACGCATCGAATATTAGAGAAAGTGTCTTTCTCCTGCCCACACAACTCCAACAACCTAGGTGGAGTATAAAATGGTCTGGGTGGGTGTTGCGGCCATCTGTGCTGTAGCATACAAGTGAGGTTGCACTATAAATGATACCGTTGGAAGCACGGTCCCACTACAAACAGAACACAATTCATCTCCAGAACACACACAGGCATACACACATAGGGAGATATTAGCCAGGTGGCATATGACGAGTAGTTAGCGCCTGATAAGGCAGCTCCTGCGAATTCCTTAATATTGTATTGATTAATATAAGTATATGCTAATTGTATTGAATGTATAAAATTGTATATCTATGTACTGTAAAGCGCTTTAGATTGGCTTATGTTAGCTAGATAGGGCGGTATATCAAATGTTGTATATTATTATTATTATACAATGGGACCCCTCGAGCCTGGTCTGTCATTTTGACAACGCCTAGCCAGAGGGAAGTGTCGTGGAACGAGAATCAATGACAATAAAGACACTGGTTATTGTAATGGTGGCAGCCGATCAGTGTTTTCTCTCCAATATCCTCTGATACTGCAGGACACAGACAGAAACCATCAATTAGAAGCAAAACGACACAACGATACGTGTACATATTACAATGGCTACGTGGGGCAGTTGCCAGGTACCTTCCGCATGTCGGTGGTTTTGCTGCGGGTTCTCCGGTTCTCCTCCAACACCGAAACCGGGCCTGTTCTACATATATAGTTGTTAATGTTATACTTTGGCTTAAAGCACAAACGAACCAAACATAACGTTGGTATGACTATATAGACATGTAGCTACCACGGGCGAAGACTTCCAGGTTATATAAAAGTATAAAAAAAAAACGTTTTCCGAGTCTTACACAGGCTTTCGAAAGGTTTGGATTTATGCAAGTCTTTTTTATGAAAAAAATGCAGCATAAACATGGATTGATTCGTTAGTACGTTTGGTCAGGGAATCCCGTTAATGATATCCATCATCAATATGCCCAAGGTGACATGATTTACCAGGAGGAATTTAATCGTTTCTAATCTCCTTGTAATATAGCATATTAATACACAGTATTAGCTGGTTTTCTATTCAGAATGACCAGGTGTAGTGTAGTGTAGTGTAGTGTTGTGTAGTGTAATGCAATGTAGTGTAGTGTAGTGTAGTGTAGTGTAGTGTAGTGTAGTGTAGTGTAATGTAGTGTAGTGTAGTGTAGTGTAGTGTAGTGTAGTGTAGTGTAGTGTAGTGTAGTGTAGTGTAGTGCTGTGTAGTGTAGTGTAGTGTAGTGTAGTGTAGTGTAGTGTAGTGACGTGTAGTGTAGTGTAGTGTAGTGTAGTGTAGTGCAGTGTAGTGTAGTGAGGTGTATCGGAGTGTAGTGTAGTGTAGTGTAGTGTAGTGTAGTGTGGTTTAGTGTAGTGTAGTGTAGTGTAGTGCAGTGTAGTGTAGTGTGGTGTATCGGAGTGTAGTGTAGTGTAGTGTAGTGTAGTGTAGTGTAGTGTAGTGTAGTGAAGTGAAGTGTAATGAATTGAATTGAATTGTAGTGTAGTGTAGTGTAGTGTAGTGTAGTGTAGTGTAGTGTAGTGTGGTGTAGTGTGGTGTATTGGAGTGTGGTGTAGTGTAGTGTAGTGTAGTGTAGTGCTGTGTAGTGTAGTGCAGTGTAGTGTAGTGTAGTGTAGTGTAGTGTAGTGTAGTGTAGTGTAGGGTAGTGTAGTGTAGTGTAGTGTGGTTTAGTGTAGTGTAGTGTAGTGTAGTGCAGTGTAGTGAAGTGTTGTGTAGTGTAGTGTAGTGTAGTGTAGTGTAGTGTAGTGTAATGTAGTGTAATGAAGTGTAGTGAAGTGTAGTGTAGTGTAATGAATGGTATTGTAGTGTAGTGAAGTGTAGTGTAGTGTAGTGTAGTGTAGTGTAGTGTAGTGTAGTGTAGTGTAGTGTAGTGTAGTGTAGTGTAGTGTAATGTAGTGTAGTGTAGTGTAGTGTAGTGTAATGTAGTGTAGTGTAGGGGTCTGATATCTTAGCCATTAAGGACATGCGAATAAAACACAGGGACCTGATAACTAACACACTGATATTGGATTTAGGCAAACACTCAACGACCATGAAGTGTACTTATTCGTTCCCATAACCTTCTGTGACAACTCAACCGTGGGGTTTTTTCTCGGAACGTTGACAGAAAGTAAAACCAAAGACAGACAGGAGTGCGTACTCGATCAAAGGGGCCTGAGATTTGAGAAAGACAAAGTCATGCATATTGTGTTCGCTTTTGAGTATCTACATCTTCTAAATCTCTCTCTCTCTCTCTCTCTCTCTCTCTCTCTCTCTCTCTCT